AGCATGCCAGGCTACGTTGAAGGTGGGTCGGTCAGGTGTACCATTCTTCTTTCCAGGGGAAGTAAAGGGGTGTTGCAATTTCGATTTGTAAATCGGTCAATTTCACGTGCTCTGACATTATCTCTGATCCTAATGGGAGATATATTGTTGTAACTGGTTTTTATATAATACCCCTGTGGCATTTTTCAATATTTATGGCCCTAATTGGAACAATGAATCTTTTTTTCAATCAGTGTTTTCTAAACTAACTAACTTGTCTACATATTTTCCTATAATAGGGGGTGACTTTAATTGTTGGATTAACCCAGCATCGTTCCTCCACCAAAAATATAATGTCTTCTAAAGCTGCAAAAGCACAATGGGAGGGTGATTTACAATTTGAAATTGAAGATGTTTGGAATGAGTGTCTGTGACGGGTTCACTCCTCCTCCATCTCTGCTAGGCATGGATTGCTTCAGTGTAAGGTTCTTCACCGCTATCACTTAACTAAGGTCAGGTTATCCAAAATATATGACGCCGTTGATCCTGTCTGCGACAGATGCCGTCAATCTCCGGCTACCTACATCCATATGTTTTGGACTTGCCCCTCTCTGCATAACTTTTGGTCTGAAATATTCAAGGTTCAAGGTTCAAGGTTCTTTATTGTCAAACTAACATAGCTACAGAGTAATTATGTCGTTGAAAATCTTAGGTCACAGGCTTCTCCAACAATGCAACATAATAATACAGATAGTAAAAGTAATACAAAAAGAAAAATAGTTCTAAAATAAAGTGGAATAGTGCAGTACGAGTGCAGTTCAATACAATATCACAGGTTATCTCTATCTCTGTCGAGCCTTCTGCAATCATTGCCCTATTCAGAGTCATCATTAGGCCTGCAATGCCAAATTATAAGAAGAACTTTGTAGCTTTTGTTACCCTCTTAGCTAGACGCTTGATTCTACTCAAGTGGAAATCCCCAGCTTCACCTGCCCATCAGGACTGGATTAGAGATATATCTTTCTTTGTATGGAAAAAATTAGATGTACGCTGAGAGGGTCGTCTGCTAGTTTTAAGAAGACATGGGGAACATTTTTTTGCATATAGCCTACTGATAAAAATGACCTTTGATACTATCCCGGACTGACAAACTCTTAGACACGCCTAATTTGCTGGAATGACTTAAAGGTGGGGTAGGTAATTCACTTCAGAAACACTTTTTGTTATATTCCATGTAATGCTCTTAACATCCTGATAGCAATGCATATATGCTTTGACAATAAATACATTAAAAACCCAATAAAAAAAGTCTGAAAAAAATAAAGATGCTATTTCATTTACAAATAATGCCATTTTTAAACAGTTCTGCAGTTAAAGGTGGGGTTAGGGTTAGGGTTAGGGTTAGGGTTAGGGTTAGGGTTAGGGTTAGGGTTAGGGTTATTAAGCGATGTTAAAGGTGAGGTAGGTAAGTTTGAGAAACCGGCTCGAGATACACTTTTTGTTATATTCCATGGAATGCTCTTAACATCCCGATAGCAATGAATATCTTAAGTGCTTTGACAAAAAATCCAACATTTCATCTGTGGAAGCCGTAGTACTGTAAAAAGCACGACCAATCATTTTAGGGTAAATAACTGGATGGCCTACCTGCCTGTCAACCTTCCATCTGTGCACAAACTTATCTCGTGCCCTCATTGGTCATGTGCGCGTTCGTGTGTGTTGGAGGAGGGGCTCTGTAAGGAAGTGGCAGATTTTTTCCTGCTGTGTATTTTCAAATTCTAGCGCACTCGAGCTGGTTTCTCCAAAATTACCTACCCCACCTTTAAAGAGCCAATAAGGAACCAAATATGTTATGTCATGAAATCTGCTCTTCTAACAGTGTTCTATCTATTGGCCTCAGATCTATTCGATTGTTGGATTTTATTGGACTTTAAGTAAAGCTGCTGTTGTTTTTGATTGTCGCAAGTATTCTTGCAACAATCAAAAGCATCACCAGCAAGCTGTTCCCACGCCCTTTACATCTCCCATATGCAAACAGATGGAACCTAATGGTAGAGTAATGTATTATTTAGAAAAACTGGAAAAAGCAGGCTGTCAAGGTGGATTTAGGAAAGGAAGGAGCACTTTGTTATAATTTGAGAATGAATTGAGGAAAGTGTATAATGAAACAGTAGTTGCAGTGTTCTTTGATGAAGGAAACATGTTTGATATGCTTTTAAATGAGAAAATTCTCAAAGCTCAAAAAGTTATTTTTAACTTAATGGGAACTTATAGTTATTTTTTCATTAAGATAAGTATAAAGAGGACCATGGGATACCTCAGGGTAGTGTGATAGGAACTCTACTATTCTCTATTAAAATGGCATTTTATTGTTTTAAAACTACTTTTGTTTCTTAAAGTACAACAGAAGATTGCATTTTGAGGTGTAGTAAAGTAGCTCCCACAAATCAAAATGTAACATAATATATGTCTTCTCTGCTGTTATTAAAACGTAATGAGTTAATATCGTACGATTTAGGGAACTGGGTTCACCCCAGGGGTTCTAACTACACCTTGTTGGATTTAGTCGAGGTAATAACACCCTTTGCATATGTTATATTTCTTTTTAAATTCCATAATCTGTTAAAAAAGCTCAATTCTGCAAACATAATTAACAAACGTAAAACATTTTATTACAACCAACAAGAGGATAAATGCACAACCGAAAATCCATCTGACATTTGCAGACATCATTTTTTCACAAACTTGTAAAAGAAAATCTTAATGAAAAAAACTGAATAAAACCATAACTATTGCATTTTGATAAATCTATGTAAAACATTCACCTTATCTTTCAAGCTACATACTCTTTAAAATACAGGTCATATAGATAACAGGATTATGTACAATATTTACATCACATTGTACCAACAAACTTATACCAAAGACGTTTTTACACTTAATGTGGACAAAACAATTGAATAACCAGAGCAAGCACACACTAAATGTGACTTTACTTTCATAGGTGTGTTATTTAAGATGACTTAAAGATTATGTATCAGTCAATCTTGGTAATTTCTAAAACATTCAGAAATGTAAATAGACAGGCTTTTAATAATGTTGCTACATTAAGCTACTGGCTAACTGGGGTGGTTAAACTGACCAATACTTTGTCATTACAGAAGTCTTGCACAAACAAGTCAGCATTGCAGAGAACAATTATAAATAAATAAAATGGGCTGAGATGCATGGAAAGGCAAGACAATAAGTTCTAGAGACATGCATCTACATTCACAGTATTCATTAATAATCACTGCGGTAGTTATCCTGCCTCCATTAGTGTTTGAGAATATGACTCATTGTCATGAGGGCAGGAAAGCACAGCAGGTCAAATATATATATTTTCTGTTCACAAGGCTGTAGCAGCAGCATTTTGCCTGGATAAATATGACTACCAACAGTTGAAAACAGCATGCGATGAGTGTAAGGAGGACCTGTCCCACAGTAGTAACACTAAAACCAAGTTTATAGTATTCAATTAACTTTAAAAAAAAAAAAAGTGCAGTGTGTAAGATATGACCAGAATCTTTGTTGAAAACATTTAAAAAACGAATCAACATCATAAACATTGTGAAGAAGTTACAATGTTGCTTTTTGTCAATCTATCTGCATATATCTACTGAAATAAGTACGCTAACAGGCTTACCACGGCCCGACACCGTCTTGTAATACAACTTGATCCTCTAGAGGCCATATTGAGTCTATCATTTGTGTTTGTGTTTTGATAGTTTGTGTTACTGGATTAAATGTTAAGAGGTAGAAACTAGAACATTTCATATTTTTGTTAGGTCATCCACGCAAGCGAAGGCTGCTTCTCTGTGTAGTGGCAGGCAGCTGCTTGGGTATACTGACCTTATATAATATTAACAAATACAAGAGTTATTTTCCCATTTCTGCTGCTTTGGATTCAGTCCAGTGATTGAAGTATGAAAGTGTTGATGGACCTCACAGCCCTGAGGCCTGTACTACGAAGCCGGATTTTCGCTTAGCGAGCTAACTTCAGGGAAAACTCTGGGTTTCCGGTCCTACGACGCTGGTTCACTTCTTAGCGGGCTAGATCTCCATGGTAACTTATGCTGAACGGCTAGCCTGGTCCGGAGCAGGTTAGGTTCCAGGATAAGAGATCAACTCAGTGAAAGCACCGCCTGCTGACCAATCAGAGCTCAGTGTGCGGAGTTTAAAGCGATCAAGTCATATTACAGGAGAAAGAAATACAGTTTAAACTGCCGTTGCAGGAAAGACGGCCGGCAAAAATCAACTGACTGTGTGAACGTGAAAATGAATAGAATATCACCTCCCATCTTCAGAGCAATCTGACTATTATAACATTAGCGTTAAGAAAGCTTACTTAAATATCTGCCACAACATAAGTAACCGGATCAGAGTAACATTAAGTACAGTCCGCGGCACTGTGAGTGCAGACGTCGATGTGTCCCATTATCATTCATATCATATCACATCATAATGTATCAGATATTACCTTATCTGAGTCAGCTTCTTGAGCCGTATCTGGCCGTGCAACACTCACAGTGTCACATACTGTATGCAGAAGTATTATTTTAAGCAACACATTAAGTTGACGAAACACTCGAGTCAAATGTAATTAAAGTCAGATCCACTCGTGTCTTGGACGGGGCAGTGATATCATAAACCTGTTAATGTACACATTCAAACGCTTTTTCTTTTACCAGTTGTATTCACCTTGCAGGTGCAACTATGTGGCTTTTATCCTGGATAAAGTGTTTAAGTCATGGATGTTTAAAGTTTAACTTCTTCATATGTCTAATATTATAGTTGACTTTTCATTCCTGAAGTATGACGCGCTGCGCTGTCAGTACGCTTGTCCATGTTTGTGATTGGTCGAATGCTCCAAATACCACCCCTTTCATGTGAACACGCACCTAACTAGATAGGGCAAAGCTGGCTTGAGTTAACGAGTTGATAACCAGCGTCATAGGACAGTTTAGCGAGAGCGCGTTTGTTTTGGATTAGGTAAGCCGGGTAACTCAAACATATCCAGGTTAGGTTGAACCGGCTTCGTAGTACAGGCCTCTGGTAAGTGGCCGGTAAAAATAAAGATCATAAAGAAGATTGCAGTGTTATTTTTGATTGGCTCTCAGAGTTTCAACAGTCGTTTTTTTTAAGCTAATAGCAAATTAGTTAGTAAATTATTAGTAACTAGTAAATTGAGATTGTACGGACCCAGTGGTAGAGGTAAAACGCTGCCCCGTTGATTCACCTGACTCGGTCTTACACATTGCACCTTAAAAAACATCTGTAACTATTAAATATCTCAAGTGCAAAAATGGCAGCAGAACACGAGGGGAGTCATTTTGGTGTGACAGTAGATAAATAAGAAGTCTCTTTCTCACTCGCCTCCATCTATTTACTGGAGGTGATCTTGTCCAGTCCTGGCCACGTGGGGATGTAGTAGCGAGGCAAAGTGCCTTCCATGAGCCTTTCCATCCATAGCCCCAGACGGTCCAGCTTGTGGTGGATCTGCAGGGTGGATAAGCTACGGGATCGCTTGGATCTGCGCGGCGGATTGTCATCGCGGGAACTGGACCTCGACCTCCCCCCTGAAGCGGCCCCTTCATCCTCTGATGACTTGCTGTCGATGTCTTCCCCGGTGTAGACGGGTTTAAACAGACAGAGGTACTTTTTGTGTCCGTTGAGTGCCAGCACGTAGCCTGTGTAGTCCATCTTGTGGTTTCCTGCGTCATCTTCATCGATCTGCATGGCATCCTGGGCGTATTCAAGCAGTGTGTCCATCCACTCGCCGTGTTTGTCGATGTTCAGGAAGGAGAAATGTAGTGTCAGGCTCCTAGGAGTGTTGAAAGAATGAATTTGATGAAGTATCGAGAAAAAGGATTACACAAATGTGAGGAAAAGGGATTGTTTATCTCACCCTGTGAAAGAGTAGACCTCTTTAGCGTACTTGCTAAGTAGGATGTTTTTGGAGGCGTCAGTGAGCACCAGCACTATGTTCATGTGTCCTGGCCTCAGCTTCACCAGGTTGCTCATGTATGTGATGTCTGTCAGCTCCGTCACCTCCACAAAATTCTTCTTTGGAGGCCGACTAAAACCAATAAGTAAAATAAAAAGCTTAAAAGATAATTATAAATCCTTCACTGCATTTATATGGAAATTATAATTGTAATCTTGCCTTGAAGCACTACCGTTCCCTGGTGACCCATTTTCAGATTTTGTCCCATCCTTTGCCTTTGGTTTAGTCTGCTTATCTTCACTGGAGTCACTTAAAAACACACAAAAAAAAAAGTTTTCCAAACGGGGTTGCACTAGCGTAGAAGAGTAAATATTAAGCATCATTTTATTTTTTTGCTTGACTTTAGCTTTTTTTTAATATAGTGTCTTACACTAATCCAAGGAAAGGCTGATGTTGCTATGGTTACAGTTTTGGTGGATGGGTAAAGTAACCGACCTGAAGGCCTGGACGACGACAGTTCCAAACAAGATGAACAAGGCAGAGAAGATGAGGGACAGAAGAGGCATCATCTCACGCCTGCAAATCAACACAGAGACACATCTAAAGAGCTGCTTATTCCATTATGGAGATAAATACAGAAATAGTAATATTAGTATAAATCCCAAATAAAGTGCGGAGGTATGGCATTTGCCAAACGAATTATGCTAAAATTGCCCTTGAAGTAATGGAATTTGTTGACGGGAAGAGTATCAGGAAGAAGTGTTAATAATGTATATGTCAATAATAAAGGATTGCATCACTAAGATCTTTTTTAAATAAGTGTTAGAAATGTTTTCTAGCAAATTAAATGAAAACTGTAGCTCAGCAACGGTTATTCAGTAACATCAAAATCATATACATACATGTTTTTGGAGTTGCTTAAAACTAAACATCACTACCTACCAGTTGTTATGCAGAATATCATCGATGACTTCAGAGAGGTAATCGTACGATGCATAGATCCATCGGATAACAAACATCTACACAGAGAGATTAAAACATTTAGTAACAGGACTAATGGTTGATATCTAACACGGACAGGCATTGTTAAAGCCCACTGCTTTACTCAAAGAGAGCGTACAGAGGCAAACTCGTTGTTGAGCTCGGGCAGCATGGCGTCATGGACGAGGATGGACGGGTCCTTCTGAAGGCGCTCCAGCTCCTCCAGGAGACGCTGCTTGTCGTCATCGCTGCCGTTCCAGGCGGTCACTGGCTTGAACAAGGCCTTCCCTGCAGCATTACGCCTCTCCAGGATCACCACCTGAGGTAAGAAAAATCCCCCTGTTAATATGATTTATGTCCGTACATTTCTCCTCAATTACATTTAAACATAACATTGCAGTATATTTGTAACACAACATTTAATTTAATAAGTAACCGACTGGGGAAATTACATGGTGATTTATTTGTTACCCTGTTTTACCCAGTTCACCTTTAGTGTTTTTAAAAGTGTATGAATTTTACAATTTGTATCTAAAGGGTGTTTTTTTTTTTTCTCATACACTGAACTTGAAATCTTTAATTCAGTAGCACTTAGATGAACCATATCGATACATACCTATCTGTATGATGATGTTTGTAAAGAGTGGTTTGTTTATATATCATTCATAGCCATAACATTCCTAAAAACATTCCCGCTATTTGTTTTGGCAGTGAAGTAAAACCCTTCAAATCATAATCTCTTCGTCTCAAATCTTTGTAACAATACATTGCTTAGCAAATAGCTTTCATGCATTCTATATCGAAAAGTGATACCTGTTTGCAAATGACCATAAAAGCTTTAAATGAGCTGAGCAACTTAAAGCTGTGGTGTTGGTTGAACAGGTGTACCTGTGCTGGAGACTCCGCAGTGTCCTTGTTTTGCATGAAGATGTCACAGAGAGGTTGCTGTAGCCGTTGGTAAACATATGAAAATCTCACTACTTCCTTGCTATTGGTGGAGGCAAAGGAAAGAAACGCCTGGTTCCCAAAAGAAAAAGTCTCTTCATCGCCTGTTATCAGCAGGACACAGTATCTGAAGAGAGGAAAGACATAACATAATGCAAAAGCTACATCTCTTAAAATACTTCAAAATAAATGTGGAAATTACAGCATCGAACAGAATTATTTTGGTTCTGTATTTTAATAGTCTCTGACAAAAAAAAGAAAGGAGGTGTAAGATCCTCTTACTTTCTTCTTCTATGAAACTGTTTGACAGGACAGAGCTCATCAAAGAGTTTCTGATTTACCAAACGTGGCACGAGAAGAAATCGGTTGTTTGACATGAACTCATCAATAATTTGCTTTTTCATTCCTTTAGCCTGCAGAGAACAAACATAACCATAAATAAAAAAGAGTGAATTAACCTTTTTGTGAACAAAAGTGCAGTGTATAGATAACAGTGAATAATAGCTCTCTGCTGCTGTGACTGACCTGTATAATGTCAGCGGGCTTTTCAATGCTCTCTTTGAACACCAACATGGTCGGAGCGTAGGTGTTAATATTGAACTGTTTCTGCAGATCAGCGGTCTCCGAGAGGCCCTGGTCCACATAGCCAAACTGCAAGTAGTCCTTATAGGCAAACGCTGTGAGCTATGAAGATGTAGAGAGAAAGGATTGACATGTAAGCGATGCAATTACTGGTTATTTTCCTTACAAATAAAAACATAGCCTTTACCGATGATGGATTGAATTTAATTAAAAGATCTTAAAGTGTAACAATAAGCACATTTGCCAAACTTAAAAAAAAGAAAATTAAAAAGTGAGTCACATTTATCTTGAGGTCAATAATTGGAGGAATAAACTTTTTATATTTTGTGAATAAAAAAAAGCATTTCAAACTGCAAGAGCCTACCTTGTAAAGCAGAGGAACTACAGGCACTTGGTCAAACAGAAGCACGTGAGGCTTGTTGAGCTCATGCCAGCTGCTCAAGAACTGCAGGTAATTCTTGTCGGTGACCTGAAGTACACAAAAAGCACAACATTTAACTCATTTTGTATTGTATAGCCATTCAAAATCTGTACCCCTAAATCTTACATGGCCAATATTTTAGTCATCCTCCCTAAAAATCTACCGATTGCAAAAAGTGTATCACAAGACGCGGAGATACGTACCCACTCTACAAGTCTTTGAGGGAGAAGGTCTTCTACAAACTGCCTGAGGTGCTCCTTTGCTACAGCGTAATGGAAAAACGTCACTTTGCCATTTATAACTCCCAGTATGGATGGTGTGCGATGAGCGCCAAGGTGATTGGCTAACCTTCTTTCATAGCCAACATCCACCACACCTATCCCGACACCTGCAAACACAGCATTTTCTCACATCAACCTTTTCAAATCGCCAAAATGCATACAGATGGCCGGGCTGCTCAATAATTCTGCATGATTGACAGGCTATTTCCAAACCTAGAGTCTCCATCTCCTGCACCACCTCTTTCCAAACAGGCTCAATGTGGATGCAGCTGAAGCACCAGTCGGAAGTGATCTTTATCAGGTACGGTCTCTTGTAGCTGTCAGGCACCACCTCGTTGACATACTGGTTAAAGTGCAACGTGTACTTGCTGTCAGCAAAGTCCCTCTGGTTCTTGCTGTTAAAGGGAAAGTTGAAGAAGGACTCATCAAAATAAAAGCCTTCCTGGCGCTGACCGTAGCGACCGTTGCCGCCGTATGGCTGCGTGTCATCAGTCTGCCCATAACGGTCGTAATTGGCACGTTTGTCTTCACTGGACAGGATCTGGATTTAGGATGGAATAAATATAAATAAAGAAGAAAAAACATAAATATCATATGACCTTTCAATATCATGTGCAATATTTTGATTTTTCAATATCGTGCCCAATATTAGCTTTCAATTTTAGTAAACATATTATTATTCATTTATCTTACTTTCAAGTTTTCTTTTAGGACATTTTGTTAATATTACTTCTTATACACACTATTTGTTTTTTTCATTCTAATGTTTTGTTATTTTTGATAAATCTCTGGCAAGAATGTCCTTCTGAATTATAAAAATGATATCTTATCTTCCTTCTTCCTCATGCACATGTTACAGTCTTTTATCACAGCTTACACAGAACATATGATACTTACGGTAACCCTGTGCACAATATAATGATGAATTTGGACAAATGACTAACCTCATAAGATTTAGTAATCTTAATAAACATGTCCTCAGCTCCTGGACTCTTGTTTTTGTCCGGATGCCTTGACACAAGAAGAAGATGCTTATTATAAGAATACATGAATGAGGTTAACAAAACAGGCCAGTGACACTGTAATGTGAGAAATACTTACCATTCTTTTGCCAGACGCTTGTAAACCTTTTTGATCTCAGCCTGGCTTGCACTCCTGGTTACTCCCAGGATTTTGTATGGGTCCATCTCAGGCCCAGCAGCATGGGCTACTCCTGTGAGCAGCACCGAGAGGACCAGCACCAGAGCCAGCGGTGCGGACATCTTTGACCCTGCCATCATCGCAGAAACCTTTTGCACATCACAAGAATAATCAACAGTTAAGGTGGATTCATTCTGAGAATGTTCGGGCGTCTGAAATCATGACATTGCCTTTAGCTGACTTGCAAATCTAAAACAGCATGTCTTCCATACGAATGTTAGCATATTAATGATGAAAAGGGATGACAACCGGGTAGCTATATTAAAATGGTATTTAGCATGCTAACTACAGAAGCTAGGCAGTAGGCTATGTGTCAACTTACAAGTGCAGAACAGATGGTACCGTATCATAATGCAGCTGACATGTCAGTAGGATGTGACATTAACCTTATTCCTCGAGGATAAAAATATTCATGCAGTTTTTTCCTTCATTAAGATTAGTTGCGTTGCTAGCTAGCTATCTAAACGCAACAAGCTCTAAATTCACCTGAAGCAGATGCAGTCAGCCTGTCGTACGTCACATATTTGATGAGCGTTTTGATGTTCCTCGGCTTGATGTGAAGAGACAGCGAGATGCACAGGGTGTGTTCCGCAGCATCCCGCAGCTCCTCCAGGGCGAGATCACAAACTGCTGCTGACAGGAGAGAGAGGGGGAGGCGCCAAGTGTCGAAATTAATTTGGGGATATTGAGTATTTATGACACCTAATGCTTCATATGTTTGTTTTCGGTTTAACGCCCGTCGCTCCGTGTTCATGCATTATGTTACGCTGGTATTGCGGCAGCGGTGCGCGGTAAGTAAAATCAAGCGCACCCTGTTTTTTTTCTGTAGGTAGTCTCTCAGTGGACCAATCACAGACAGCGGTGATGTAAACAGGAAATTGCTAATGCAACCGAGAGCAAACAAGAGAAATTAGACAGGAACTTCTAATATCTTTACGGGAACAACGTATAATTTCGCTTTCACAACCGACATTTTAGGATAACGACTTGCTCTGTTGTTGAAACAAGATTTTCGGCTTTTATACGGCTTTTACGATATTTCTCTGTCTACCTCGACGAATTAGTGTGTAGTATTAAATGGAGGAACGCCAAAAGAAGATCCTCCAGCGCAACAGGACCAGTCTGGTGAGAGACTTGGACCCATCGAACCTTTATGATGGTCTTATTGAAAAGGGAGTTTTTACCCAAGACATGATCGATGAGATCAAGGTAAGACAGCTGTATGGGTCACGTCATTAGGTTGCAGATTAATTTATACATTAAGTAGTATTTATTCCAGTGTACAGTAATTAATTTCACATTCTGTTCTTGTTCATCTTGTTCTATTTTACATAGACACCTGCATTAACTTGATCACTTTCAGCATTCTCTGCCACATTTAGCTTATTGTATTTTACATGTACTTTATATCGTTGTTCACTTATTCTGCTTTACTTGCACATTGTTCTTGCAACATAATCTTGCACTGATTTATTTCTTCCCTGTTTCTTCTTGCACAATTGTTATTGTTTTTATTGTTTTATGTCTTATATGTATGTTGCATTGTTGGAGGACCCTGGGATTGTAAATGCCATTACTACACTTTAGCTACTGTGCATATGATCATAAAGCCTTTGAATTTAATTGAATTTGAATTGAGGTTAATAATACTTTGTGGGATTGCTATAAACAGCACTTATTTGACTGTGGTGTTGGTACACCTGTCTCCTGTCAGAGCTCAGGGGCCAGACGTGATCAGGCCAGGCAGTTGGTCCGGGACTTGGAGACCCGGGGGAGTCGAGCCTTCCCGTTATTTCTGGAGTGCCTTCAGGAGGCAGGGCAGCACAGTTTGGCAGAGCTCCTTCAGAGTGGAGTTCCATCAGTTCAGCTCCAGCCTGCTACTCCTACCCAGACTGTACGCCCTGTTCTCCAGCCTCTGCCAGTGTGTGAGTGTGTGATACTGCACTTTATTTCACCTGTATTAATTTCACAACAGAAACATAACTCTGGTCCTGTAATATTAAAGGCAGACACCACAGGGGAATAAGTCAAATGTTTAACTATGAGATATTACCATTAATATCATCCAGATGATTATTTCATTTAGGATTTTTTTTTTGTATAGCAAGTTTTTTTTAAATGTTATGTATGAATGTGTTATTGAGGCATTGTCTTAGTAAATGTGAGCTCATGTTCATACGTTTTCATATTTTGTGCTACTGAAGTTGAGAATATAAGAAAAAATAGTTTGGGGTAAACAGCCATTAAATATATTTATTTTAAAAATGTACATTTTACAAGATACTACACATAAACAGAAAAATCAACTAATAGATATCACCATAACACTTTGCAAGTGGTTTACTTACATTAAGACGTGTATTTTTTATATAACTTCTAAAATGTTATGTTTGAATAAGCAAATTAAGCCATTTAGGAGGAATCTACAGCCCAACTACAAAATAAACACCTTAATGTGTATTATGGTGTTTTTTTGTCCATTAATCTGAAAGAAGACCTGTTATGGAAGAAAAATGGCCAAAAATCACAAAATGTACCATTCTTTGATGTCTCATATATATATATATATATATGTATGTATGTGTGTTTTTATTTCCCTATTAGCCTCTCCTATGGATGTTGATAAGAACATTAAATATGCTGTCCGTGTTCATCCAATACCAAGACCCAGTACTACTCCTACTCCATGTAAGCTTTATGGTACATTTCAGTGTTCTTTACAGACTGGTATGTTTATTGATGGTTAACACGTATTCATTCTCATGTCACAGCACCTGAAAGGGAGTACATGAGACCGAGGCCACAAGGCAGAACTAGACGGGATAGTATTCAGGTAAGCAGCATTTATTTATCATGTGCTTATGACCAACAGAAGATAAAAAGTTTGGAAGAAGCATTATATATTAACATCATGTCTCCTTTTTCCTCTACGTGTGTCAGAGCTATAAAATGGATGCCAGCCCATGTGGACATTGCCTCATCATAAACAACGTAGAGTTTGAACCCGAGAGCGAGCTGAGCTATCGCAAAGGCTCCAATATAGACTGTGACAAACTGGAGAGTAGATTCAAGGCACTCAACTTTATTGTGGAAGTTAGGACGAACCTGAAACAAAGAGTAAGGAGATCTCTTATTTTTCTGTGTATTAAAACTCATGTGAAAATGCATAACTACTATATAGCTAACTGTTATCACTGCATTTCAGCAAATCAAACATGAACTTTCATCTTTATGTAAGAAGGACCACTCACAATATGACTGCTGTGTGGTTATCATGCTGTCCCATGGGACTGAGGTAAGCCATGTCCTCATGTTCTTTTGTAAAATCAGAAAACACTTTTCTCTCTGGCCTGCTCAAGTTCAAATCCAAACGCCTTATAATGTACGCTCATATCTTTTTTTGTAGGTGAGTCACAACCGATTCCCTGGTGCTGTGTATGGTGTGGACGGACAGCATGTCCCAGTTCAGCACATCACAAACTACCTCAATGGCCAGCATTGCCCGTCTTTACAGGGCAAACCCAAACTGTTCTTCATCCAGGCCTGCGGAGGAGGTAGCTAACGCAGAACATACAGTTAATATAACTCAGTAACAAAGCATGTGTACATTTTCTTTATACTTTTGTTGAACATCTTTAAATTACAAACTATTATCACTGTTTAACACGTTTAACACCAATTCCAAGAAAGAATAATAATCACAAAAAAACTTGCTATTAAATAGAAGGGGGTTTATTAAATATATAACGTAAGTACAAAAATGAATTGGGTTTAGGTAGAAACCCATTTTGTTTAAAATGCTCTTTGGAAAAAGTTACATGCAAAAAAGATGTACCTTTATTGAAATGGCATGGTCATGTTAAACCTAAAAGAAAATCTGGTATGTTTGAGAATCACATGATTTCAGGTAAAACATGACTGTACCATTTAAAAAAAAATTGGTCTTAAGGCACTCTTTTGTTAACGATTAAAAGAAGATTTTCAATGGCAGAAAACTGAGCAAGATTTATATAATACAATTTGTTAAAACAAATAGTCTGAACTCTGTTTTGCATTAGAAACACCAAACTAAACTATGATATTAGACCGGTATAACACCCTTTATAACTAAGTGCTCTTGCACCCTGTCCCAAAAACAAAATAACAAATGTTTCTAAAATATTTAATTATATTTTTTGACAAAATACACACAGATAACCATCCAAATGAACGCTTAAGAGTTCCCTGCCTGGATAAATATCTGTAATGAATCCATAAGTTAAACTTGTTGTTGCTCTTGTCCCGCAGGTGAAAGAGACACAGGCTTTGAGGTGTCCCCTGACGAGGTTGAACCCTCCCATGGTGGAGCGGATGATCAGACGGACGCCATCCCAATGTCGTCCAGCAGCGACTCTCTGAGCATGTCTGATGAACCAGATGCCAGAGTAACGCTGCCCACCCCCAGTGACATCCTGGTGTCCTACTCTACCTTTCCAGGTGTGTATGTGTTGCAATTATTATTCACCTGATTTATAACTCTAGAGATACACTTGCTTTGTATGTCCTTCTAATGCCTTTTGTGACAAACGCAGGTTATGTTTCCTGGAGAGACACCCAGTCAGGCTCCTGGTACGTGGAGACACTAGATGGTATTCTTGAGGAAAATGCTGCTACCGATGACTTGGTCACAATGTTGATGATGGTGAGCTTTTTACCATTTAGAGCTTTTTTAATTTCAAACATGGACACATCTGATTGTTGTTTGTGCTTTTTTTCAGGTCAACCATGAAGTCTCTCAAAACTCAGCAAAAGGGCTCTACAAACAAATGCCTGGTTCCTTTAACTTCCTCCGCAAGCTTCTCTACTTTCAAACCCAAGCATAGCGGCAGAGTTCCGCTTTACATTTTTCAGTGTCACGTTCAGGAAAGGAAAGTTTACTTCATGGATGTAATTTCAAAGATTCAAAGGGTTTATTGTCATATGCACAATAGCCAGAGTGTAGTTGTTGGTAATGGAAATCTAAGCCTCAGGCTCCTCAAACAATGCAACATACAATACACTTGAGACATGAGAAAGAAAATAGTGCAAATAACATCATTGTGCAATTGGGATTTCTGAAGTGTATGAACTTGTTAAATTGTTTTTACAGACACAATCATGTCTTAGTGTACATTTCTATTGTTTGTCATATCTTGCAATGTTTTTAATTGTTTTAACTTTTTGGGTTATGGTGTAGAAAATATTTATGTACAGTGAAAATGTTCTCCAGTTTATAGGCTTGGTGTCTTATGGACACCAGCAGCTGTTGAATTTCAAGAGTAGACAATCAACATAATGTTTAATTTGTACTCTGCAAATTGATATTAAAGATGTTGCTTTCTTATAAATGTTCATAAACAAATGTGAAGTTATGTCTCTTCTAAAATACAACGCACAAATGAATGCAAAGTTATTTTTATCTTTATATCTGTATCGCTGCCTCTAATTTAAAGGTCACCTATTATGCAAAATCCACTTTTTCATGTCTATTATACATAAGCATGTGTCCCCTCTGTGTAAAGAGATTATCCATTTATATAAAAACCTGTCTGAAAATGAGCTGATCAGATTTTGGCCACTTCATGATGTCATAACTTTTTTTGGCTTGTGTAACCATTAGCCAATCACCAACCAAGGTAACCCCCCCCCCCCCCCCCCCACCTTATCACCTGAATCTCCTCCTAGAGCACCAGTGTTCTTTTTAATCAAATATCTC